TGAAACAATGGTAAGTTCGTCGATGTGCAGTGTGCATCCAATCTCTGGCTTCCTATATGATGAGTTCCTCAATTCTGAAAAATAATTACCATCCGGTTAAGGGGAAAGCTTAAGAAACGTCTCCAAATCAAAATTTCTTACGCTCTCTTTCTTCGAGAGAGAATTCGTTCCTGTGAACTCCGAACTTGAGCAAAGACTAATGACGATAGCGCTGATTTCTTCACGTTTCCGGTAAATAGAACACCGCCCCGATACGGTCATTAATCATGGATGGCCGAGCTAAATCACAGGCTGTACTTCGATCAATTTTTTTTTCAGAGCAAAGGGATTGAAGCTACTTTTTTCAGGATTCTCTTTGCTTGTACTGTCTAGTTATGGTATCTTCTCTATGGAATTTTCTACCACGGAAATTTTTGTCTTTTCTGCTCTCATCTCAGCTGTCGATCCGGTAGGTTGCGTCAGTTAAGAAATTTCTTAGGTTAGGACTAACCATTTTGGAACACGTTCGCTTATGGGGTCTTGCCTGAGTTTGCGTTAGCACTTATGATCTTCTGGTCAACTCTGCTTAGACCAGCTACTTCAAGGGACTGGTGGAGTGGTTGTTGTAAGCACATCATTAAGGCGTTTGCGGAGCCACATTAGGATCTGATCTCGGGCTCTCTCGATGAAGTACAGGGTGGTCCAAAATTATGAGGACCAAGACATTGTGTCGTTAAAAACGCATAGTAGCTTGATGGAACAAACCAACTTCTGGGAAGTATTTGTAACTCTTACCTCAAAGTAATTCCAGAATAGAATTGAGATCTGCCACCTGCCCGTTTACACGAGCCTTCAGATGAAGGGGATGGCGCGTGCGGTGGCACGCAACTGAGGCGTGTCCAAATGTTTCCAGGCCTTCTGCTCTGCCTTCTTCAGGGAATCAAACTTTTGTGTGGGGCATTTATTTGCGCTTGCATCCAGGGTGTGAAATACAGAAATCTAGAGCTATCAGGTGGATGGTTCCATTGTAACAATTCTTCGAAAGCAACGAACTCGAAAAATCGCTTTTTTGGAGGATTTTTGCTTTATTCTTGGGTGCTCGGTCCTGTAAGAAGTTCTAAGTAGACTACTCGTGTGGCTTTCTATCCACTACAGATGTGGAGTCTTTAGAGTGTCTGGCTGGGTTTTCACATCAATTTTTTCATTTTTGGGTGTACGAAAGTCGACAAGGGGAGACCTAGTTTTCTGCATCTGATAATTATCCTGGTGGTAACTGTAACTTTCGAGTCCCCGAATTTTCCATCTGTGGTGGTTCCAAACTTATTGAAGAGTTGAACTGTTGCTCATAAGGGCTTCCCTGATAGGTTAGACTGCTGCTAGATGTAACGTGCCAGAGCCCCTAGTGAGTTCAATTTGAGGACTGACTCAAAGTGAAGTAGTTATTTCACTAGTTTTGAGAACTTCATGAAATTTGGTTTCATTAGGAAGAAGACAATGTACCTTTCACATAGTGCACAGAAAACGAGATGAAAATGGAGCGATACGGAAAGTGGATATAGAACTGCGCGCGCACGCGGTCCTCATAATTCTGGACCACCCTGTATGTACCGGCGCTGCCCGCCACTTTTCCCTTGTTATTTAAGGTATAATTATTGTAATTATAGTTGATATTGTTATTTAAGGTAGCGGTGATTGCCGTGTTTGAAGAAATCAACGTGAATGAGTTCATTTTTGTGAACGTCTTCGGCGAAGCGCTCTTCAATGACGGTGTCACAGTGGTATGTAGAAAATTTCAAGTTCTTTCTCTATGTTCTTAAGTTATTAAAGTCTAAGGTCCACTAAGTAGTACGCAGCTTCATTTTAGTTGTAAAATGCCAGAACTTCGAGAACCAGAAATCATGAAATTTCAAAGGTAATATTGAAAGGTACAATTAGTCTTCTCGATCTATTCTCCGTGTTTCTGCAGAATGTTTCTTGACCATAGCAAAAGCGGGGAACGCCTTATAAACCCGTCATGATAATCGATAGTGATATCATCATTTCGATACATAATCAGCGATGATGACGGGATTGAAATGAGCGTAGTGAGAGAGAGATCAACCGGGTTCGCAAATGATGTCATCGGAAATGATCCTTTTCGAGCGAGTGCCGAACGTGTATGGAAACAAATGATCACGGGGTTAAAATTTAACCCGTGAATTTGATTAGCACCCCGTTTTCAAATCATGAGTGAAAATCGTGAGTGAAAATGGAGGTTTAGGAGGGAGGCACCACTTGTTTTGTCATTCATAGTGCTACAGAGCACTCCATTTCGCCCTCTGCCTCAAAGGGTAGGATCATACCTGAGCGGCTCAAGTGGAGTATTGGATCGGTTAGGGTCAAACTCCCATGCATAATATGTCCATATTTACCAAATTTTCGCACTTAACAAGGAGATCCTTCCCGAGGGCCGCTTGTTTCAAACGTTCCTTCAACTGTAAGGACGCATGTATGGGTAATCAAAGCTTTTGTCGTTTTCAGTAAACGAATTTTGTAGTTGTTATAAGATACTGTTGTTGGTTCAATCCCCATCGTGGCGAATAAACTCTGCTTCTCAGGTTGGCGCGCCAAACAGGTTGGTGTCAAATGGCGCCGATTTTCAAAATCAGATGTTACATTCATAGTCAGGGCCAAGTTGAGGCCAACGAGTAGCCCTCTACCTTGAAAGCAAAATTCTTACGCCACAACGGAAGATCGAGTATTACCAGCATCTTGCACTGCTTTTCGATACTACTGGAACCGTTTAGTGAAAACGAAACATGGTTTTGTGAACCATAAATACGTCAAGGAGCGAGGAGGTGGGGGATGGTTCCTGTTCACAGAAAAACATTTGGAAACTGCAATTTCTCCCGAATCTCTGAGCTAACTTAACCACACAGGCCTTAAGACTAAAAAGGCCAACCGGGCAAGCGTCGTGTGAAGTTCTCTTCCGGTCGTGTAGGGGGTGTGTATACCCTAAATACACAGAATGTGGCGTTTCGGTGCACGGGAAAACAACCAAAAGGGCGCTCGGGCCTTGGAAAGTAAGCTGCTGAGCTGCAGGTTTTTTCCCTCTTATCAGGCTGTTGTGCTGTTGCTCTCTCATCTGTAGCGCTTAGCAATTGCAGCGTCATGACCCCCTCTTACGCTCACATACCTTTCTTTTTTAAGGTGCTGTACCAGATGTTCAAAAGTTTCACAATGATCGGCCCCGAGAATCTGAAACCGATTGATTACGGAGCCGGTGTTTTATCGTTCTTGCTGGTAGCCTGCGGTGGTGCTGTCATCGGTCTCATTGCAGCGTTCATCGTTAGTTTTATTACGAAGTGAGTTCAAAAATGGTCCTGATTACTGTAATACATAGTTTTCCAAGTTTAAGATCCAATAACATTTTCCAGATATACAAATCAGGTTCGAATTCTTGCTCCAGTATTTATTTTCGTTATTCCATACATGGCATATCTTACCGCTGAAATAACTTCTCTGTCATCAATTATTGCGTGAGTTCTGGCATTCTTATTCACTGTGCCGTTGAATATTCCTCGGTTGATTTTTAGGCTTGGTTTGAAACACATCGAAATGCTCCAGGAATTTTGACCGATAGTCGAATGTCTGGCGCATTTTAAAAAGATCGCGGCTATGTTGGTTTACTTTTGTTCGCCTAACCATAGAATAGCAACCGCGTTTGGCCAAACCAACTGTAACCGTCTGTACGTCGGGGTTTGTTGGAGCCCCTAAGAATCCTTGATGTTGTACGACCCGCCAGAGGGAAGAGATCGCCCTACCGAACTAGCCGGGATCTGAAAATCTCAGCAAGACCAACACTAGCATCCCTAGTAGCTGATTCTTTGGAATGAAGTCACCACGCGAAATTGGTACTTGTAGGTCAAATCTTCATGTCAAGTGCTCCCTCATCAAGGCCCCCGTGCGGCACAAATTCATACCGCGTCCGTATCGTCATGCGACGTGGTGTCACTATATTTCTACAAAAAATGTACGAAACGAATCCGCGCGCGTACATCCATCGCGCAATGGCCACAGCAAAGCAGTTCGCTCGTAGTTGGTGGGCAAATGTGAGCTGCAAGCCCGCGCGACGTCGCGCGGTGACCTCTCTCACTACGAAGGCTTGATGGCTTGACGCCTGTATTATTTTTAGTTGTTTTGAGCCGTGCGTTGTCACCGGAAACCCACTTTCAGAATAGCAGTCTGTGGTATGGCCATGAAGCAGTATGTGAAAGGAAACATCACTACAACTGCATCGAATGCCGTGAAATATTTTGTGAAAATGCTGGCTCAGTCCTCTGAGACAGTGATTTTTATGTAAGTTCATTATGGCTTTTCATTATGAATATCAATAAATCCAGTGGAAAAATGAATTTAATTCTAATGGCAATGGTATATACATAGACTGAGAATGATGACACAGGTGCGGCCGTGGGTACGCCACAACTTGTAGGTCAGGAGATTCCAGTTTGAGCACAGAAAGTAACTGCGCGCTGCAGGACGGTGGTACATCTGCGCTATGGGGCATAAGTTGCGAGCGAAAGGATGGTGTCACGGCGCTGCAGCAACCGGAATCTCCTGACCCTTGTCCTACCCATGGTTCTCAATGAGCTTACTTTATAGCAGTGCAGTAGTAACCAATTTCTTCAAGTGCTGAAGCTGAATGAAAGGAGCTATAACTTTCGGTTGTGTTTGACTATAATTTCGTTTGTAGTAATATTATTTTATAGTTTAATCTATATATTATACTTGATACTTCTGCTAGAAAATGAGATAGAAGCATCTGAATCAATGCTCTTAAAAGCAGAGTTATATTTTGGTCAGATTCAATGAAGGTAAGTAAGTTGTCTGTCAGGTTTTTGGGACTTTCGACGAGGTCGGTCCTTCAATCATTACTGGGAGGACACGGGCCTTTCGTGCGTGGTGCTACACGCTCTCTCTCTCGCCTTTTACCGAACAATTGGTGAGTTGACTCATTCCTCTATTTCGCCATTCCCGCTATTTTTCTACTTTTTCACATCATTATAGGTTTTTTGCGAATTTCGTGCTTATTTCTGAACGGTAGTCTGTTTTATAAGGTGTCGCTTCGCTCAGTGTTTCTTCCTTAACAAATTCGTCACAAGAATTTCACAAGTACGCTCGACCGGTGGCGTGGAAGCTGAAACTATATATTAGGCGCTGGAGTAGTCAGAGGAGCATTTTGCGGACTGAAGAAGCAGAACTTCGGTGATTGTGTAATCTGCTTACAAACTTCTCGCCTCTTCAACCTTCCAAGGCTTAGTCGTGAACAAGGACTAGGGAAAAGGGATTTTGCTTGTATAGATCCCCCGCATAGATGCCCCCTAAGTGCATCATCGATTAGAATTATCAATTTTGTGGCTTTTGTTACGATAAACAGTCTCTTCTGTTAATGAGGTACTTGAACCTAAAGTGCACAGCTAATAATGAATAGTTTCGTGGTATGAAAGGGCAGGCTAGCGAAGGCATTTGCTGAGAAAGCTGGGCCAAAAGACTTTTGGCTGCGAGGCTCGGGCGCCCTGTGTTGCGCATCAGTGTGTGCGTCTCGCTCTTATCCTATGCTCCCTCGTTTCGACCCCCCCCCCCTAGTCCATTGCCAAAGAGAAGATCTTTGCTTCCGGTGCTAGCGATTTTCTCTCACTTTTTTTCATTTGCGACCTATTTCGCATCCCCAAGCTTGACCTTTTAGAGTAATAATCTCACACAAATAATCATGGATTAGTGCCTGACTGAGGAACTAGCTTACGACTATTCAGAAGGAGAGTAATTAAAAGAAATTCTTATAGATAGACCAACTCATTCTGTCCTACGGTGGCCTTCGTGGTGCGATCGCGTTCGGGTTAGCGATGTCGATTCCAGCAACCATTATGGCAAGACAGATGTTCATCACCACAACAATTGTCGTGATTTTCTTCACTGTGTTCCTTCAGGTACGCAAAATTTTATGAAACTATAATTTTGAAAATGTTCGCAAACTTCGTAACAACGTCGTAACAACGCTGTATGTCATCGGCGATGTAATTGTCTTGTGCCATCTTCATACCTAAGTTACTGGCTTTGCTTCGTCAGTTCCTATTTGAGTTCGTTTACCTCAAGCTATTCCACCTTTCCAGGGCATCACAATTCGGCCACTTGTCAACTATCTGAACGTGGAAACAAAAGACGATCGCCCTGCTACGATGACAGAAAGCGTCTACAACAAGGTTCTGTACAATCTTTGAACCGATTTCTTCTGAAGGCTGAGTTGGCAGTAGAAAT